TAAAATTAACCTGTCTAGGTTTTACATGAAATTATGATCACATCATGGTCGGTCAAAGGCTGACCGTTTGACCGATCTACTTTGATTGACCGGTTTAATAGTAATATTATTTAATTATCGCATGTTTGATAAAGCTGCGACTCATTACCCAATAACACGGATACAACACGATTATACCCGGATAAGTATAGGTATCCGGATCATAGAATGATAAACGGGTAATGTTTGTAAGGGTTGACTAATTTAAAAAATTTGATAGGGAAGGGTATTATTATTTTTTTTTTGTAATAAAATTACCTAAGAGTATATATAAACATACAACCAAGTATTTAAATAAAGTAAGAGTCAAAAACCAATAAATTTATTAACAATATAATTTCCAAATGCAATTAATAACGTACTGTAATTGATCAATCATTTACAGCTTTTACGTAATATATCATGTAATGCTGAGAAACCAAGAAAGTGTATCAGCTTGAGTATCAAAAAAAAATCCCAATCTTTAATATTTTAGTGTCAAATCACATGGAATTCCATGTATTTTGATTTTAAATTAATAATAAATTTCCAAGAATCATAAATTAAATTAAAAATAATATTCTTTATATCTCTCTCGCCACGATCATTCGATCAAGGATTTTACTTTCATTTAGTACGCCATATAATTCTTTTGTAGTATAATAGTCAAACAAGTAAATCATGCGATGTTTATATCATCTTTTTTTATTTTATTTTAAAAAATTTTGGAAAATTAAACTTTTATATACACATTAAGAAAATTTGAGAAATCTTAATAACCTAATAAACGAGATATCATACAAATAAGGCAGCATCTATATAATAAAGTTTAGCGTTAATGTATCTATAAAATCTTTATTGAAATAATAAAAAGTGTTTAAATTTAAAAATAAAATCTTTATTTTTAATATTTGTATCCGGATTTACCCGGATATTACTTGGATAATATATGATATGATACAATGCTAACTGTGTATAAATGGGTAATACCTGTTTAGGAATCGGGTAACCTTTATATTAGTTAAACACAGATGTATTATGTAGTTAGAATAGTTAGACTTGATTTACTTAAACGGGTTAGTGTAAGCTCGCTTATCTATTTTATTATATAATAAATCTTTATCAGATTTTATTGGAATATATTTAATTTTTTATGTAAATATTATTTATGATGGAAAATATGTTGAACCAATTGCTATTTTAAAATAATTAAATAATTATGTGTGTGTGTGTGTGTAAATTTAAATACATATTTGTTGAAATTTTATTGATTATTCGAATAATTTTTAATAATACAAACGCACTATATATATACTTTTTTAAGCTCAAATTAACAAACTTGTTAAGCAAACTCAAAGAACGTTTTAAGGCTAGTTGAAAAAGCTTGTGCTTATACTCAATTTAAATATGCTTTGTTGAAGCAATTTAACATCCCTACAGACTATAATAGTAATGATGCAATTTGCTTAATAAAAAGAATGGATACCAAATTTACATAAGAATTTCTATGTTATAATTAGTATAATCATGCTATTTTTCTCGCCAGAGTAGTTGTTTTAGGAAACTACTTTATATTGTAATATGCAAAATAATTTTTACATAGCAAAATTTACATAATGGTTATTACATTTACAAAAAAACCAAATTTTCATTTATAAATTGTCTTGCTAAATCTGGTAGATAACACAACATTAGGATCCCTTCAGTCTATAAACTTCAAATCATGTGATTAATCTTGGATTAAAAGTAAGTTCTAATAGAGGAATTCGGTAGTTATTTTGTATTTTATTTAAAATACTAAAACTAATATTTACCAACTTGCCTTTGTAGAATGGTTCAGAACCTAATTCTTTGATTGGAATCAGATCGGAAATTAGCGTAATGGAGAATTTTTGTTGTACTGAATATATATATATTATTTAAAAAAAATATTAGTTAACCTTTATAGACCTATCCGGAACTTAAATCTGGGAATCTTAGATCGGAAGTAAGTTTTAATGGAAAAGCTCATTAGTTTTTTTTTTTTTTTTCAAAAAAACCTAACATTTACAAACTTACAAAATAGTAAGGTGGAACCTTGAAATCTTGAAGGTAATGGATAATTTATTGTTAATTTTATATATTTTTAATATTTAAATTAAGATGAGCAGTTCGAATCTGTGAAGCCTTGGGCAAATTATCAGATCATCCATAAATGATTGAGGTTAAATACTCCCGATGAGGAAACTTTTGAAATTTTTTTTTAATAATTAAGATAAATTTTCGTTAACTAACAATTTTACAAATTTTCCTTCTTTATATTCTCGGTTAAATTTCTTCCAACTTTTGTTCATAATGATCTTTTTATTCAGCTGATTCTTTAATATCAACTAACCAAGTTGTTTGCAGATGACAATCATACGAAGTAGACGACGAATTTTTTATTGCTTTTGTATAAATATCAAAATGGACTACTTGCTAACGCAATATCAGTATTGATCATGTAAATATCTGATCGATTTGTGAAGCTAAACGAAATTATACTAACGGAGGAAAAAGAGCAGATTTACGGAGAATATTTTACGGAAGTTCAAGGAAGGTAAATCATATTTCTGAGTAAGATTGCTATTCTATATCTCTCACTTTAGGAACCACAACCACCAGAAGTTATATGCATAAACATGGAAAACACAGTTCTGTAATTAGACGTGAGAGGTAGTGTAGAAAATTTAAACAGAAATATATTCATGACAATATGTTCTGTTACACTACTTACTGTACGTAGTAGATGATTTAGGGAATTTATATAGTGCATCATCTTTATTCTCATTTCCTTACTTAGCGTTCATTTTATTAAACTTTTTGTAATAAAGATTTTATAAAGATTTTTTCATACATTATTTTTTACACCTTGTCACATTTTCAAATTGTGGGGTCGAGTTTGTGATGATTCGTCAATTTACCTTTTCAGTTGAAAATTCTATGAACGATTAATGATCGTGAATGTAAAAGTAATTAGTTATTAATATATGATGGACCTTTTGATTTCATAACTGCTAATCAAACATACCTTTTATCAAGGTTGAATTTTATTAAGTATTGGAATATGTGAGGAAAAAAATTATCTATATTACAGACATGGGTTTTCTCTTATGATTAGTAAGCTCGTTGAACCAGATTTTCGTGATCATAATGAAGCTTTCGTTTCTAGTTACGAAACATACTAATCAATAAATTTACACTTACCTTTACATCGTCAATATCATCTGTAAAGCAATAACAGGTATTCTAGTGTTCGTATAGAATTTAAAAGAATGTTATAATATTGCTAATGGTTTAATTTTAAAGCAGAGCAAACATATATAAGCTAATTCTTTTAAACAAATTGTGTAATTTAATTATAAAAGGATAACCATACAACTCACCAAGGAGCAATAGAATTAAAGTAAGCTAATATATTATAGCAACTCCAAGAGGACAGTAAGGGAAGATTAAATAAAAAAATGTAGGAAAAAAAAAAAATCTGATCACTTACCTTTGTCATGATAGACTGATCGCACGGAACTGATCAAAAGCTAAAAAAAATAAAATATTAATAAAAGAATTAAAACAATGTAAAATAAAAAATAAATAAAATAGAAAGTAAAGGGAAAAAAAAAAATTAAAATAAAATCCCGATCACTTTGCCGTGACGGACTGATCACACCGAGCCGATCGCACGAAAACTAGAAAAAAAATCAAATAAAAAAGGCGGGAATATTACGATTGCTACGTTACAAACGATTCATATTAAAGTAAAAAGAAAATTAGATTAAAAAATAATGACAAAATGAAAACTTAACGAAATTATAATAAAAAATATATATATATATACTGTATATACAGTTATATACCGCGTTTATTTTCGAAGAAAGCCAACCCAAAATATAAAGCTAAACCCATAAGCCTGTAGCATTCCAACTAATAAAATAAAAATTAAAAATACAGTATTAAGCTGATTCTATATTTAAAAATTTTAGTTTAGATTGATAATAATTGATAGTTATTTATCTAATTTATTATCTGCAATTATTATCACATGAACAGGTATAATCGTCTTGAGGGGCACAATTCTAAGAGTTGCAACCATCTGGAAATGCATCACATCGGACAGACGATTCATTTACGCAATCTCCTGAATTTATACTCCAACCGGTTACATTATTTTTACAGTAATCATAGTGCCAGTAATTATCATAGTTAACAAATTCTCAATTGCATCCATGACTTCGGGTTTATAATTAACACCACCGAATACACAATTGTTGTAATGTACTAGCTGACCACAGTTAAATCTACCTCGTATAAGGCAATTAGCCCCGAGTTTACTAACATACTCTTCTGCCAAACAACATTTACCACAGATATTTTGATCTACGTGGTTGCAATAGGTAAAGCCATTATGATTGAGGATGGTGCTTGCCACAGCTGCATTAATGATAGGTTGTGCAAAGTTCCTAACACATAAACTACCAAAATGAACTAATTCGATGGGCATATAAAAAGGTGCTGCAAGCCAATAAGATGAAGGGGTGAATACATCAATAGCTCCACTAATCAATTTGGGTAATTTTGCAATAATACTTTTAAAATAAGAATCACTATCATGACCAAAAGTTTTAAAAGTATTTTTTAATACACCAGTGGCATCAAATGGCACTTTGAAATAAAATTCTGTTGTTGATAAAGTTCGTTTTAATGGGTCTCCATTTTTATTAAAAAAAAATAAAATAATGATTTAAGAATAGATATTTTTTTAAAAATTATTCCATCTACTTGATAACAAGTATACATACCAGAAACAGAGTCAACTAACATTGTTCCTAGTTTAAGAATATTCAAATTAAAATGATCAGTTAATAACTTTAGAGTGCCAGAAATATCATAAGAAATTGATTCATCCGTTGCATGATTATAGTATGGAGCTAAATCAGTTGGGTGATTAATGATATTTTCAGACATGTTACCGAGAGAATATTTAATTCCTAGGTAGTGGTTCTGATAAAAGGTAACAGCACTATCAACTGTTGCAGCCAAAGATAAAGCAAGCAGGTTTTTGTCCACTAAATGGCCATCGAGCCCCATCATTTTCAAAATTAAAAATAGTTCCACTATCATGCATTTGATTGGAATAAGCTTTGAGACAATTCAAATTATTTTTATCATCTTTGCTAGTTATTTCGGTGTTGTTGTCTATGTTGTAATTATTTTTACAATAATGCATAGCAAGGTTAAAGGAAAAAGGATAATCTGAATTAGGAGTATTTCCAACACTCAAACCTTTGGTGTTCAGATCAACTCGCCACGTGGTTGGGTCGTTCGCACAGGTATAAAGAAGCTGTTTACTAGCAACTGGCGTACTTTCCTTGTAGAATTCTCTTAGTTCAAATAACCAACCACAATTGTTTGTACACCCGTACATGGTGACATTGAGTAAAAACCCAGCTGAGGTTAGATTATGGGATTCTATTTTCTTGATCTTTGTAGAATTGGTATAAAAATTTGCGTAGTGCTCGTTGATGTGGATTGCATCATCAATAAAGGGGTATCGCATAATTTATAGTTTAAACCTATGGTTATCCAAGCATTAACCGATGAAATAAAGATTAAAATCAGAAACGGCAATGTTCGATATGTAATTAAAGTTTTCCTCTGCATTTTGAAATAAATGGATTTGAATGTATAAAAAAAATAAACGTTATTTATACTTTTCGAGTTTGGCATAGAATATACTTATTTGAATAATTGATTTTCTTAAATGTTGATTTTATCCCAATGTATCTTTGTTCCCTGGTGTCATTCTATCTGAAACTAAATTTATTCTTTTATTTTAGAAATAATTTAATAATAGGTTAGGATCTCTCTTGACTCCCATATCGCAATCCAAGTAGTCGTGCTCGTATTAATTTTCAATTTTTTTTTTCTTTTATTTTATTTATTAAAATTAATACATACTAACGTTTTAATATACATTACGAAAATTCTAATTTAGAGTAAATGTATGATTCGTAATAATTTAGGTGAGAATCATTATAAATTTTAATGTAACATGAAATTTAATTCGAATCATACAATACACTGAATTTTTTGTGATTCGGATCATCCGAATTTTTTATTCGAAGAATTTGTAATACGAAATGCAGGCCAATTGTACATTTTATAATTAAAAATTTTTGTGTAAGATACCGATATTTCTAAAATTAACCTTTAGTATATTGAAAAAGTTCTATTTCAATCCGAGTTAGAGGTCTTTTTTTACAAAATATTAATTCGATATGTTGCGGTAAAGGCTTTTTAAATTTTTTATTTTATTTTATTGCTTTCCTTTTCTTGAAGGTTCGTAATAATAAATTTTCAGTTCATCTACTTGCTATAGAATTCTAAAATTAAAAAAAATCGTTTCGTTCATTTGAAAAATGAATGTATATAAATTATTATTATCAAATAAATAGACAGCGCTCTTTTATTTAGTCTTCGAGATTTTATCGTCAAACAAGTTTGTTCTCTGGGTTATATTTTATAGATGAAAGTCGCTAAGATATATGCTTGAAGCAAGTATAATATTTTTTTTAATAAAAGTACAAATATATGTGACTGTAACAAGAAAGAATATACATTAAGCAAATGTTGGTTGGCGCAGTTAAAATTACAGCAAATGTCGCTCATTTTAATTAAAGTGGGAAACTGCTGGAAAAAAGCAATTTTGCTTTTATATGATTTTCAGGTTTTATTGCAAAGATCTCAAAATTTAAAACAAAATAAAAAATTTTTCTATATTTTTAAAAAAGCTGTTATGTTCTTATTATCACTTAATCCTGATAACGAAACAAATCGAGCTATATAATAGAATTAACAACTTGCAACTCTATATATTAATTGCTGTAATTCTCATTTAATATCACAGCATATTTCTTCTTCTCAATATCACTGAAATAAGGGATTCGATTTAATCGCGATTATCGTTTCTCAAGATTCGACTCTAAGATTCGATTTTCGATCGATCCATTGAGTTTAGTGCTTTAGAACACCCTAATTAGATTAAATCCGAAAATTAAAAAAAATAATACTGTAAATATGCAAATTAAAAAATATTAAAATAAAGAAAAATAAATTATATATAAGAACCCGAACCGCGATTATATAAAAAAAATTCGCGGTTACTCGCAATTTTTTTTGTTAAGTAGAATTAAAAAAAAGAGTACACAGTAAAATATTAATAAATCAATTAAAATAAATCAAGTTTAAAAATTAAAATTATTAAAATAAAAGAATTCAATAAAATATCAATCCGAAAAAAAAAAAAAAAATAAACAATAATTAAAAAATTAAATTAGAAAAATTAAAAAAAAAAAATTTCTCGTGTTTATCGTTATAATAAATTATTTTTGAATTGCCTGCGCCTGATCTACTCCAAAAATTTTCCCGGTTGATTACTAATAGTCCAGTGTTGACAACGGACGATGCCCACGGATTTTCACGGGACAACGTTGTAAATGTCCGTCATTGTTCGTTGTCATGCGGACAAGTACGCTAATTTTGGAAATCGTCCGGGACATTTTTTTATGTCCCGGACAATCTAATTTTTTTTTTTATCAGTTCAATCGGTTTAACAGTTTACACGAAAAAACTTATTTTTTTATATTATCCGCACCAAACCCACGCTGAACCTAAAAAAAAAAAAAACGAAAATTTCGAACGTCAGCTGTTCCGAAACCAATAGCAATAAAAAAAGAAAAATTTGAATATTAGCCATACTGAAAGTGTTAACCACCGCACTACTGCATTGCACCACGCGTCCACGCCGAAACCTTGCCGGAAAGAAGCATTTTTTTAAAATTAATTAACATTTTCTATACCCTTATATAGGCTTACCTCCGATCAATCCAGGTTTGAAGAATCCGGTCCATCATGGGTGCCGTCGAAAATCTCGAAATCCAAAATCTCGAATGGTAAAAAATCCCGAATTTTCCTTTAAAAATTTTTCATGTATAACTAAGCTTGCTTTCTGATTAAGGTATATACTACGGTATGACATTACCAAAATTATTAATGTGCATATCACATAATTTTATTAAAATTTTTTCATTACAAAGTCGTTAAAATCGCAATTCATCTTATCAATGGTTTAATATTTACTTATACAATAAATGAAAATTTTTCAATCGGAGGGAGTTTTGCTCATACAAAAAACGAAAAAAATTTTCAGCAGAATTATTTTCAGATAACCTGAGTCTCACCCGCGACATATATTGCTAATTCAAAGTAATATCTCGCGACTCACCCGATACATACTAATTCAAAGTACTTCTTACGACCATTCGGGATTTTGAATTTCGAGATTTAGAATTCGAGATTTTGAACCTTTCGGGATTTAGAGTTTTGAGATTTTGGCTTTTCGAGATTTTGAATTTCGAGATTTCGTAGCATACCCATCATAAATATATCCTAAAGGTAAGTTACTTCTATTTAATTATTATAATTATTTTAAAATAATTAAATATTTACAACTTTTCATATGCTAACCTCCGATTGATCCGAGGTCCATCATAAACGATCCTAAAAGTAAATTACTTTAGTTATTGTAATTTTAAACATAATATTAAACATTTCCACGCCTTCCATAGGGATTACCTCCGATCGATCCAAGTTTTAAAGATTCTGATCCATTAAAACATATCTAAGGTAAATTACTTTTATTTTAGTTGTTGTAATTTGTTTTAAATAAAAAAATAATTAGCATTTCTACCCTTTCATAGGTTTACCTTCCGATCTATCCAATATTTGAAGAATCCGGACTGTCATAAACAAAACTTAAAGGTATATAATGTTTGTTTAGTTATTGTAATTTTTTAAAGAGCATTTTTTACACCCTTCAATAGACTTACCTCTGATCGATTAAATAAATGATTTTATCCATTTGATCTAATAATAAATAAAAATACTAATAAATTTGCCTTCAATGAAAAGTAAACCTACGATTGTACAGACTATTGCGAAGATATTACTAAGTACGTTTTGTTTAGTAATACTAAAAATAAAGGGTACCTTTTTAAATGCTATTTTATAAGTGCAATCGAATTATTTGAATATTTTTCGAGGTAGTCCTTACGTGAATTTATTAAACCTAAATATTTGTTCGATTGATTTTTTTATTTGAGTAGAATGAATTATTTATACAAAGATATTCGATATATCGATTTGATATTATTTACCAAGTACTTTAACAATCTAGTCAACAACCTGTTTACCTATTTCAAACTAACTTGCTTTATTGAGATCCGGAACATCTTCAGCATACATGTAAGCCCTGCCAGAAAAGGGGCCAAAATATTCATTCCAATTATTCTTGTCAACAATTCCGGAATTATTTAAATTTTTGATTCTTTTGTTGTAATAACATAAAATAATCAACCACGGATGCCGCTTTTTCTAGCTCTTTATTGTAAATGATTATGGGTGAAGGGAGTTTCATTCAATAATTTGTATGTTGGATTTCATGAACTTTTTTGTACGATTTTGCGTATCATCTAACGAACGTATCACCATATGGTGCGCCTCCTGCATTATGTATACAATTTGTGCATTTTCGGATATCAACATTTTAATTTTCACACGCAATTATATCCTTGGAATTTGTTGAACTTGTATCTACTTGATAGCTAGAATTATCTAATTGTAAATAATGATTTAAAAATTTTGATATCCCTACATCGTCGTGCTACACAGTGAATTGTTGAGTTAGTTGTTATTTCTCCTCATTCAAGAACTTTGATTTTGAGCCAGCATTAAATTTTCGAAATTCTACCAAGTAGCATAATTAGATATCATTTAATAATTGATCTTCGTAATCATTAAAATTCCAATGTTTAAGATGTGGTATTTTCTATCTGCAAACTTTTCAGCCATAACCTATAACCATAGGTATCCATAATTATAGCCTTTCTTCCTTTCAAAATAAAACATTCCAACAGTAGTAATTTTATCAGGTGTCAAGTTTTTGCCTGGAATAGGTTTATTCAAATCCAAGATTGTGTGCACTTACGATTTGCTTCATTATCATAATTAAAGGTTAAAGGATATTGAATTCTGAGTTCATTATTAAGGGTTGCCATAAATTCATAGATATTTAGTCATCAATATTCTTACTAAAAATCTCATACAAAATCTCAAGTGATCTATCGTGACCGCCGCAATCGCCAACAAGAAGTTTTATAACCGAATTGTTCATATCAAAAATATCTTGTTTAATGCCATCAGGAATAGTAAGTATTGGGGGCTTTAGAGAAATAATTGGTAAGAATTTTCGGAATCTTGATGATATTGCAAGAAACATTTCGATTGGACTAGTAGTTGATGCTGTACAGCATGCAATAAGAAAAGTTTCTCCCGATGAAAATCTCCAATACTTGATAATGTTTTGTAAATTACGATGTTTGATTAGTTCCATCATTTTCAAATTCGTTCATCATGTTATGCATTCCATCAACAACTAAAATTACGGCAACATCATCCAATTTCCTATTCTCAAATTTTGTAACCAATTCCAAGACTTCAAATGAATGTGATGCCTCATAATTACTATTTATATAACCTATCGTTTTATTAAGAAGTGGACAAAGAATTCGTGAGCCAACAGCAAGAAATGGGGGATTTGCTATTAAAATCGAGTTACGAGCATAGTAAATCATATGATCCTTAACGTGATTTTAATAGCTTACCTCCCAAAAGGATCTTCATAAGGGTTTAAACTATACCATTTTCAAAGGAGGTATTGAATATCCATGCATTATTAAGCCAAACTTTTAGTTCGCCTAGTTCTAAAGTCTTTAGTACACTCAACTGCTGCCCAATGTAACTTCTGGATTTTCCGGTATCTGGTCCAGAGACGAAGAAATACTGCATTTGTCTATCTTTTTATCTTTGAAGATTTGGTAATGTATCATAAGTGTATTTCTTAATTCTTTATACAATGTTTCGCCTAGATGATAGTCACATTACTGCATTATAAACCAGTGCTACTAAGAAATGGATTTGTTTTTTATACCTATTATAGTAACAGAGAGATACTCAGTCATAATGTAAGAAAAAAATTGAGCTTTATTACTACATAGCATTGGGGAAAGCATTTTAGATTTTAATTTCAAAGAGTTCCTCTCTCTAAAGGTTGGAACCGATCAAAATCTTTAACCGGTTAATAACCGGTTAAAATTAACTTAGGCCAGTACTATAAATTTAACCGGAGTTAGACAACATTTTTGCAATCATAAAATCTTAATTCTGGCCGGATATGAATTTCGGCCGGAGTTAAATTCATCTATTATAACCGGTTAAAAATAAACCTTCGCCAGTTAATATGTTAACCGTATTAACGGTTAATTAACCGTTAAAAATTAACCGGTTCCAACCTCTCTCTCTCCTTCCTCTCTCTCTCTCTCTCTCTCTCTCTCTGTAAATTAAAAGATCGATTATTATTATAAAAAATTAATCGTCACGCAAATGTGTACGACACAGCTTACCTTTTGATTTGACATATTCCCTCAAGTAGTCAACTTTCTCCTCATCTATGTGATTTTTGAAAGAACATTTCAACTTTAGTTAAGTCTCTGTCAGTAGTGAAAAAAACGCGTAGCTCGGTTTTTTCATTACTAGTGAAAGGAACGTTGTCAATTTTCTTCAAGATAGAACCTAAATCATAATTTTTATTTTAAATTATGAGTTAAGAGATAAATGTAAAAAGGAACCGATAAGACTAAAAAAGAAAACCCGATTTTATGAAGAGGATTAACTTATATCAAGCTATATGAGCGCGTCTTAAATCCAGTGATGGTAATCTCTGAATGACCTTCGAATGACCTAGTCATTGAGGTCATTTGTCATTTGGTCTTTTAAATGTAATACAGGCCAAATTCTATATGCTGTCCAGAATTACAAATTTATATCACGTGAAATATTTATGTAAACGTTCGAAATCATTAATTACATTAAATTATTTTGGCCAGAATTATTGAGATCAAATGATATAATTTTAAATAGTCAGGTATTTGTCATTTAATGTTGAAATGACCCAAATGACACATGACTAATCATTTGAGTCATTTGAGATCATTTGTGTCACTGAATAAACTTTTATCGATCCGATGCATTACGTTCTTATTAGCTGATATATCGATTCCCTTGATAAGAGTAATCGGGATTATATCATCAAATACTCGTCTGGTCGTTACTATAAAACTTAATCAAAAATATATATATATTAGCATATGCTTTATTGATCATACTAAAAAAAAAAAAATACATGATACCTACTTAAAACTAACTATTTGAAAATGGATAAAAAACCCTTGATTAAAGTCAAGGGCATTATATTGCTTCCCTTTCCGTGAAATTAGAAATCATAAACCAAAATATTGTTTATTAACTTGTTGCTTTCTTACAAATGCACAGCTTCAACCAAGCGAAGTATGTAAACCCATCTTAATTGGTTGGAAGTTTCATCACCAATATTTATTGTTAGCACTTCTTCATACCGCAATACGTTGCTTCTTCACATTGCTCGTTAATAATAAGTTTTTCCTGAGGTAATAACAATTTGAACGAATGTCAATCGACTTATAATTTATAATATAACTAGGGAGGTCTGAAGCATATCCATCTCACTGCTACCGCACACCCCGCTGATTAAAACTTTTAAAAGCAAATCAACTTGAAAAAAGAACCTAAATAGTACAAAAAATATATAAAAAGTTAGTAATCAAGCTTTAGGATTGAATTCCCTCGCTGTTCCGTCAATACTTCCGCCTAATGACTAGTTGAATGGGATGGCTCCGATGCAATGGTACACGAATAAAGTAAACCTTCCACCTTCATTCTTAATAAATTGATTCTTTTTTAAATATTTCCTTGAAAAATTATACTATAAAAAAATGACCATCTCTAATTATTGTATTTGATGAAGTCCCGATAGAAATATATGAACAAAATGAGACAACACACCATTTCTTTAATAAGAATTTTTGCTCAGTTCTCAATAATTTTTGATATACATCAATATAAAAAGATTATGACGAGTTAGTCGAAGTTGATTTTAAATCGGTTCGAATCTAACGAAGCGCAATCATATTTTGAAAGTTCAAAATATGGTAGTGCCAGATGCTGGAATGTATATGTAGTAGTTTCGGACAAGCAAAAAAATATATATGTTTCTATCGTTCGATTGGAACGATGTTTTTGACGTTCCAATTGAACGATGTCTTTATCGTTCGATTGGAACATATTTTTAATCTCTCCAATGAACCGATCTGAGCTTTATGTTTAACAAAACTTTAAACAATAAAATCAGCGTAAAACAACTCTTTTAACCATCAAAAGTATAATTTTTTAAAAAAAAATTAATAAATGACGTCTTTTATTATTATTAATTTTTTTTTTTTTTATAAACTGATTTTCTCATGTTTTATTAATAAAGTCGTCACTTAATTATTTATCCTTTATGGTAAAATTTCGTTATGGGAAGGAAGTTACAAAAGACTTTTTTATTTTTAACAGGTTATGGATGAGGGGTTTCACATTCAAGTCATTAATACCAAAAATTTTAAGGTTTAAATAATGAATTATGAAAGTAATTTAAACAGAGTTAATTCTATACAGTCTAAAAGTCTATAAAGTCTATAACGTCTACAATTTTTTAAAAGTTTATAAAGTCTAAATATAAACTTTTGACCAAATCTTTAAGGTTAAATAAGAATTTTCTTTTGTTAATATACCAAGCTAAGAAAGCAACGATAACTATATTTTTTGTTTTTTTTTGGAGTTCACAGTAAACATTAATAAATTTTAATTTAATTGCCTCACGAATACCACCGAAGACTTCACAAAATTTTTTTCCAGTAAAGGTTGTAACCGTAAAAAAGATATTAATGATAACCATTAAAATGAAAATTGCAATCACACGAAATATGATTAGTACACAAAGAAACATCAAAAACGTAACTATTTAAATAAATTTTTTACGTGAATTAAAATAAATTCCAGATAACAAAGATTCTTACATATCATCCAACCTATGAGGAATATAAACCAAGCGCATTTTAGATCATCTTTAGGAAGCGATAAAAAAATTTATATTTACGTTACACATGCATGAATAAAAGCTTTGGTTTTTAACCCAAATGATAAATGAATTTTATCATAAGAAAACTGTGGTGTGGAATATATCCTCTATTCAATTCAAACAATCCTGCTAATAATTGAATCCGACACCATAGAATAAAGCTATACCGCAGCTTAATACAATTACGAATATTTGGATTTCAAATGAATTCGTTATGATTGTTTGTTCAGAAAAAAAAAAGAGAGACAATAGTAACATGAATAGTAAAAGTTTAAAAGGAAATCGAAAATACAATATATAATAAAAACCTAAATAACTCTAATTCACTCGATTATAATGAATAACCAAATACAGTATCTACATTTGAATTAGCGTTAATGTTTAGATTTAATAGATTTAGGGATTAGAACATAGAGTTAAAGTTAAACTGTAATAGAGTAAATTCTGTTTTAATCACGTTAAAAAAAAAATTCTGTTTTAATTTGAATTTTTAGTTTCATATGAATTTAATTTATTGGTTTATTTTATTTGTTTCCATTGTATCCTCACTTCCAATGACAAAGCCATTTTATTTTAATCGGAGTAACTCACGTGTCCGTATGTCTGTATTGCAGTGTTGTCAAATGATATTAAAATGACATTAAATACATTGATTTTACTATGAGAAATGACAAATGTCATTTAAAATATAGGCAAATGACATTGCAATTTGCCAACACTGCTGTATTGTGCCAGGACGGCCGACATGATTTTTTTTTTTTGGAGACTTTGCTAAACATATCTATTCTTGTCCAATCAAAATATGGTTTTTTTGAGACGAGTGATAAAAAAAAAAGAACAAGATAAACTCGATTATTAGATAGGCTTCGTTTTCTGGACACAAAAGTCCGCTTTAATAAATAATAAAATATATGATAATAATACAAATCATTTTATGACAGGAATAAAATAATTTCACAATGATTTTTTATTTCCTTAAAAAAATAAATAATATAAAAAAATTATAAAGGTTTATGTTCGTGAGCAAAAATTAAACAATCACTTTGAGCTAAATTAATACACTAAACTACAATAAATTACCGGATTTTATAAATTTTACTTAGTAATATATAGTAAAATTAAAGATTTTTAGA